CGAGGTTTGATAGTGCATGTAGGAAGACCTGCCAGTAGAGAGTTGCAATAGTCGATGCGTGATATCACAAGAGCCTGTACTAGGAGCTGTGTAGCATGTTCTGACAGGTAAGGTCTGATCTTCCTGATGTTGTACAGGGCAAATCGACATGACCGGGCAATCGAGGCTACTTGAACCTTAAAAGTTAGCTGGTCATCAATCATGACACCCAGGTTCCGGGCAGACTTTGTGGGCATGAGTTTGGTTGTTCCAAGCTGGATATTGATCTGTGGTTGCATAGAGGGACTGGCTGGGATGACAAGGAGCTCAGTTTTTGAAAGGTTGAGTTGAAGGTGCCGTTCATTCATCCATTCAGAGATATCAGCAAGGCATGATGAGATTCTTAAAGAAACTGTGACATCGTCTGGTGGGAATGAGAGGAAGAGCTGGGTATCGTCAGCATAGCAGTGGTATGAGAAGCCATGAGAGTGGATTATTGAACCAAGTGAGTTTGTGTATATGGAGAAGAGAAGGGGACCAATCACTGACCCTTGAGGTACCCCTGTGGATAAGTTGTGCGCTTTGGACACTTCTCCCTTCCACGACACTCTAAAGGATCGCCCAGAGAGGTAGGACACGAACCAGCAGAGGGCAGATCCTGAGATGCCAAGTTCAGAGAGTGTGGATAGGAGGATTTGATGGCTGACTGTGCCAAAGGCAGCAGACAGGTCTAGCAGTAATAGAACTGAGGACTGACCCGCAGCTCTGGCAGCTCATAGCGATTCTGTTACTGACAGTAGTGCAGTTTCAGTAGAGTGGCCCGGCTTAAAGCCTGATTGATTTGGGTCAAACAGATCATTTCTGGACAGGAACTCAGAGACTTGCTTAAAGACTGTGCGCTCAAGTATTTTTGACAGAAAGGGCAGAAGAGAAACCGGTCTGTAGTTTTCAACCTGGGCTGGGTTTAGTGTGGGTTTTTTGAGCAGAGGGGTGACCTGAGCTTGCTTGAATGTGGTGGGGAACACACCCGTTGACAGAGAGGAGTTGATGATATGCTTAAGTGCAGCATTAAGCGGAGAGGAAATGGTCTGCAGGAGGCTTGATGGTATTGGGTCCAGAGGACAGGTGGTGGGCCGAGAGTCTAGCACAAGCTTAGAGACTTCATCCTCATTCAGAGAGGAGAATGAGTCGAATGAGGCACTTTTGGTTGGTGCCTTTGGGCTGAGTTGGTCAGGCTCAGAAAACTGGTTACTGATGATTGCAACCTTTTCAGTAAAATACGAGGCAAACATGTCTGGTGTGAACAGATCGGAGGGTGGAGGAGGAGGTGGTTGAAGCAGTGAGTTAAAAGCAGAAAACATTTTTCTTGTATCTGTGGCATTGCATATCTTGTTCTGATAATATGTTGTCTTGGCCATTTTCAGGCTGGAGGAGAATGAGACAAGTCTTTGCTTATAGTCATTGAGGTCAGCGGACTGATGGTCTCTTTACTCAGCAGTCTCTACCATCAGTGTGTGAATGTGTATGAATGGATGAGTTCATACTGATGGACTCTTTACTCAGCAGCCTCTACCGTCAGTGTGTGAATGTGTGTGACTGGAGTGACTTCAGCCATCTGTTCCTGCAGGAGGCTCCAGAGGCTCATCGGCAGCAGCCGCCATGCTGGAAATGCTGTCTCTGCTCAACTTTGAATCAACCTAACGACAGGCTGAGAGCTGGAGCTGAGGCGGGTTTTAAGCCTCCTGACAAACCTTTATATCACGCCCACCTGTCAATCATATCAGCTACATGCCTAACTATGAATAACAGGTATTGTTTTCAAAATCAGCACAGAGCTGTTTTGAAATTCCCCTTCCCCACCTTGTACAGTGTGTGCCCATGATGACAGTAACTAATCTGTAAACATGTTAATTTATGCTGTAAAAACAAGCTTTTTTTGAATGTGACTTCTTGTGCTTCTGCAGCCAGCCTCTAGTGAAGAAGAAGATTTACTTTATTGATCCCTGTGAGAGGAAATTTCAGTTTTTACACTCTGTACTCATGCAACACACACATAGGCTGAAGTTTGTGTACATACATGCACACAAACAGGATCATATGGACATGCACTAATAGAGAGATGTCAAAGTGATGATGTCAGAGTGATGGAGCTGCCCACAGTGGGTGCTGAGCTGAGCTGATGGTGGGGAGGAGGTTTGGTGCCTTGCTCAAGGGCACCTTGGCAGTGCTCAGAAGGTGATCTGGCACCTCTCCAGCTACCAGACCAACTTCCAAACTTGGTCTGCACCAGGACTTGAACTGGTGACCCTCTGGTTCCCAACCGAAGTCCCTACAGACTGAGCTACTGCCGCCCAAAATAGTGGACACTTGAGAAACTGCAGGATGTTGCACTTACTCATTGGCTTCATTTTTCAAGACCGGAGGTTTTAAAGTTGGAGAAGTGAAACAATTCTATGTTATATTTTCTGAACTGAATACACAAACCTTATTCAAAGAAAAAATGGCTCCCTGGAAAAAATGTTTGGAGCTAAAAAGCTACCTGGAAAGTAACATAACATAACATAACTGTGTTCCAGGGACAAAATGTATCTCTGAGGACAGTTTGTGTATAGAGTTATGAACATATACCACTCTGTACATTTCTCCAACTTTCATATTTCTCTACCAAAACTCCATAGTGCACCTTTAATTTAGCAAAGATTTCCACCTCCTGGGCAATTCTTCTATAACATTTTTTTACTCCGGGGCCAAACAGCCACACTAATATCCAATATTACATGTAGAATTACAGCTGGTAATGCGACAGTCATCACAACTTTATGTTATTAATTATTGTTCAGTTTTGTCCATTGTTTATTTCAATGTTTTGATTTCATTTTTATTTTGTCTTGTTTTGTCTTGTGTGTTGCTTGTTTGCTTTTTGTGTATTTTTGTTGCATTTATATCCAAGTTTAGTCTTTTAAGTATTTCCTGTTTTTATTTTGTAATTGTTTCCCCTGTGTATCATATCATGTATTACTTCCTCCCTTCATGTGTTTCCCACATTTGTTTTTAATGGGTGCATCGGAATTGCAAAGTGCCTACACCATATGACAGTAGACAGACCCTTCTCTCTGTGCTGTATCCTGTTAGGACGTACTGTTCAGTAGGTCAATATTTGTTCTTACTTCGTCTGATTCATTCAGGGTGGAAGTGGGGCCATTAGCCCGCCTGATGTTATTTACACTCTGACTCAGATGTGATCTGCACGATGGCTCAGTAAATAATACAAAACTTCACATTGCATGGAAACAATTTAACAACTTAACATTTGAAGACTCATCTATCCTTGTTTTGATATTTTTTATCCTCGTTTGTTTTGATTTGGAGGCGCAAGTGAAGAGACATTTTACATTTAATTTCGCACAGCATTGTGGGAGTTAAAACACAACTCGAAAGTTTCCTGAAAGGATGCATCCAAACCATACTGCACAAAACCTGGAAGTTAGTATCCATGCTGAAATGTTTGAACATTTAAAGTGATGTAATTTGAATGACCACAAGGATTGGCCAATCAGGAAGGACCCTAGTGTCTGGTGTCCTGTGTTTGATTGGCCCCTTTGGCTACTTTTTGGTAGTACTTCCTGATTTGGCCAGAATGCAGTGTGAAATGTGCGAACAAATACGAGATCGGCAGTACCTCAAAACTGTATCAGGAAAAATCTACAGTATGCATCGGACCAGTCACAATGCAAAGCACCAGGTCAGAGGTCAGAGATCGAAATAACAGATAGAACGGCCATCGTAACAAGGGATCACAATCAGACCGAACCACACAAAGTTACCGCCACTAATCTTTGTTGATTCTCTGAATCATGAAAACTAACTAACTAGTAAGACTCATAAAGCCATCTCTAGTGGACCTTTCTGCTCTTAACTTGTAAAAACCTTTTATCCTATATAGCTCTTTCTAGGTTACTAGTGGACATTTAGGCTCACTAGTAAACTAGAAGACACACAATTTATCTTTGTAGTTAACTAGTAGATATTTTTCACCTCACTAGTTAACATTTAGGAATTTTTGCTGTCTACTAGTTTACTAATAAATATTTTAACATTTTACCAGTAAACTAGTGCGGACAAAGACGTACAGGAAATCGAGCTTTGATACCAGGGACATCTAATTCAGAAGTACAACACAAGCAAGGATCTAGAAAAAAGGGAACAATGTCAGTAAGAGCAAACGATCAGCTTTGAGTCTGATTGGACACACAGGTGCTGACAGGAAGTGACCAGAGACAAAGCACAACATTGAGGGCAGTTCTTGAGAGCTCTAATCAGTATAGAAACCATCTTATAAGTCATCGTTATCAAACAAAAACCATCGTCATTACCATCATCATCATCAATAATATGGAGACCATCATCATTAAGTTAGTAGGTATTCATGAAAGAGCTGGCTCTTTCTATGTTAATATATAATGTAATCAGCTTTCCATAGGAGTTTGCCGTCAGCTGGGCTGTTGTACTTCCTCATTGAAAGACTGAAAACCAGTTTAGCCTGGTGTACTGCAGTGTAACCACCAACAGTCATACTGCATACTTCTATTAACCACAATACCCAGAATGCAGTATACTGTGTTTGATATAAAGCTATACAGTAGGTGGTTTTGAAAACAGTCTCTGTTCCTAGAATATGTCCACCTCCCTGTGTTCACATCTCATCTTTTGTACATTTCCCTTCTTTGCTCGAGTGTTTTAGATGGTTCTTTTGTTAGACAATCATTTACCTGAACTTTGAAATAAGTAAGCTGTTGTTTTTTGCCTTTTTGTTATAAATGCGTTTTCTGTATGTGGGTACTCCCCCCCCCCACTTTTTTAACACATTTTGACACTTTAAAATCAGAAGATTATCAAGCGTTCTCTCTGTTATCAACAAAGTCATGCACCAATCATAACAAAGCAGGAGAGCAAACATGTTCTTTGAATGACTCACAGACAGTTTACAGGAATGAGGAGGCGTGGTACTGAAACACTTCCTTGTTCAAAAGTGCGAAACTGAAACTGCTGTGAGTCTCTGAGGATTCACGAACCAGGACCTTCAGGCTGTTCTTTTCATCGTTTTCAGGTATGATCAGGGATGGGTACCGAATAGGTATACGAGATTGTTCCGGTACCGGGAGTACCGTTAAGCTCATGGAGAAAAACAAATACATGCTCTTGTATACGTTAGTTCATCTTATTTAATTCGGGGCTTTCCATGAGCGCTGCTGTCGGCAAAACAGCCGACGAGTCACTCAGTTACAGCCTGCTTCTTTTTATCTTGTTAAATGTTATTAAATAGTTTACATTAACGAGCTGCGGCTCGCAAATTCCTTTACATTATGACACACTCCTCCGTTGTGTCCGCATCTGTAGTGATGGGAAGTTCGGCTCTTTTCAGAGAGCCGGCTCTTTTGGGTCAGCTCCCAAAGAAGAGCTGGCTCTTTCGACTCCCAAACGGCTCTTAATTTAGTGATCTTTTGTAGCCTCAACTTTGCAAAAATGAATGGTTTGTGTGTTGAAAACCCTTTTGCGTGCATTTATTCTGTTAGAAAAAACATTCTTACTCTTGTTTAATATTTTAATCAAACTTTTTAATTGCACAAATAAAAAAATACAAATATAAAATAAATACAAAAAACTGCAAACAAATCCACAGAACAGAACCAGAACTCTTTAATCAAACATTATGAATGTCCTCAGTGCAGGTTGGCTTTGCGAAAAATTAGATGCCTCAGCTTGGATGGGCTGATGCGATTCCTTCTTTCTGTAAGTATCTGCCCTGTTTTTGAGAAGATTCTCTTGGAAGGAAAAGATGTTGCCACAATACACAGTCTCCCCTCCATCACCTTCACCAGGTGTGGGAAGACTGAGGCCTTGGCCTGCCACCAGCTCAGTGGGTCTTCTTCTCGTTAGATGAGGGGCTCCTCAAGATAGGATCTCACCTCCATTACAGCATCAGCTGTAGGATTTCTCCTAGCATTTTTCAGTCCATAGCTGAACAAAGAGCTACAACCAATTCCTTTACTTTCTGCACGGTTACTGGCCATGCTGGCCAATCAAAACAAAGTTCTGCCATGAGCAGAGCTGGGGCTAACCCACTGTGAGAGCTAAGCAGTGAAAGGAAAAAACTGGGAGCCGGCTCTCACTCGATGAGAGTTGGCTCTTCTGATTCACTACAAAGCATCGGCTCTCAGAGCCGCATCTTTTGAGCATGACACATCACTAGTGCGTGTCGACCCCTCCACTCTGTGCATTATTTTCTACTTTGTTGGGCCAGAATCTTAAAACTCCAGGAGAGATGTCCTCGCTTCTCCAGGGTCTGAATAAGCTGAAACAAATGTAAGATGTCTTTATATAATGATGTTTAATATGATTCAATGTGTGTGTAGTAATTTCACTTTCACTTTTGTTCTCTAGTGTGTCGTCATGTCGGCTACCGGCTGTGTTCTGTTTGAGGAGCAGTTTCTGTGCTGCATCTGTTTGGATGTTTTCAATGATCCAGTCACCATCCCTTGTGGACACAACTTCTGCAAAATGTGCATCACGCAGAACTGGACTGTTAACAATGCACAGTACCGTTGTCCTATGTGTAAAAAAGAATTTAAAACCAGACCTGAGCTGTCCGTCAACACGTTCATATCTGAGATGGCTGCTGAGTTCAAACAGTCTGCTGGGAAGAAAAACCAAAGAGAATTAGTGATAAAAGCTGCCAGACCTGGAGAAGTCTCCTGTGACATCTGCACTGGAACCAAACTGAAGGCCATGAAGTCGTGTTTGACATGTTTAGCCTCCTACTGTGGGATCCACATAGACTCTCATATGGCCACTGATTCCCTTAAGAGACATCTGCTGACCGATCCTGTGGGGAACATGGAGGCCAGGATGTGTCCAAAGCACAAAAAGACACTGGAGCTGTTCTGTACGACTGATCAGATCTGTGTGTGCGCTCACTGCACATGTTCAGAACATGTGGGTCACAAAATGTCGTCTCTGAAAGACGAGTTTGAAGCAAAGAAGGCCAAGCTGGAGCAGGTAGACGCTGACATTCAGCAGATGATGCAAGAGAGAAAACAAAAGATCGGTCAAATGAAACTTTTAAAAACACACAGTAAGAACGACGCAGAGCGCGAGATAGCCGACGGCGTCCGCATCTTCACGCTCCTGATGCAGACCACGGAGAAAAGCCTGAATGATCTCATCGAGACGATTGAAGAGAGGCAGAAGACGATGGAGCGAGAGACGGACGGTTTCATCCAGAAACTGGAACAAGAAATCTCTGTGCTGATGAAAAGAACTGCTGAGACCAGGAAGCTCACGAGCTCTCAGGACCATCTTCTCCTCCTGCAGACCTACAGATCCATGACCTCTGACCCCAGCACCAAGAACTCCACTGAAATCAGCGTCTGCCCCCCGGACTACCAGGGCACTGTGGTGAAAGCTGTGGCTGAGCTGGAGGAGATTTTAAGCAGAGAGAAGCAGCAGCTGCTCCATGAGGCCAGCCTGAAGAGGGCTCAGCAGTACCCGGTCGATGTGGTCCTTGACCCTCATTCAGCCAATCTGTGGCTCGTCCTGTCTGATGATAACAAACAGGTGAGGTATGATGAGGTGAGGAGGGAGCTGCCAGACAACCCACACAGATTCTCTCATTATGCCAACGTTGTAGCACAGCAGAGTTTCTCTTCAGGACGGTTTTACTACGAGGTCCTGGTGACCAGGAAGACAAACTGGACTCTGGGACTGGTCAAAGAGTCGGCCAACAGGAAAGGAATTATCCCATTAAGCCCAGGGCACGGATACTGGTCTATGGGCTTAAGGAATGGAAACCAGTACCTGATTCTCTCCAGCCCTGTCGTCAGCCTCAGTCTGGACTCCCAGCCCCAGAGGGTGGGAGTGTTTGTGAGCTACGAGGAGGGGCTGGTCTCCTTTTATGACGTGGATTCTGCGGTTTGTCTCTACTCCTTCACGGGCTGCAGCTTCACAGAGACACTCCGTCCTTTCTTCAGTCCTGGTCTTTCTTACGGAGGAGCAAACTCCGCCCCCCTGATCATTTTACCTCTCAGAATAACTGATTCAAGTGTTTCATTTAGTTTATAAAAATATTTTATTTTTTCTTTTAGTCGAGGAAATCAAATGTTGTTGCATTGTGTGTATATATGAGGTCTTTTTGAATTTCCACCCCACCCATCTATCTATTGCTGGGGGGGTGGTCATACCCAAAAACTGTAAATATTACTGGACGAAACATGAGTGACCATCTGTTCCTGCAGGGGGCGCTGTTACTGCATGCTGACTCAGTCTAACTTTGAGTCGACCTAACGACAGGCTGAGAGCTGGAGCTGAGGTGGGTTTTAAGCCTCCTGACAAACCGTTACACCGCGCCCACCTGTCAATCAGGTCAGCTACACGCCTAACTATGAATAACACTGTTAATATGTATTTTCATGAATTCATTCATCTTGATCCTTTTGTGGATATATCTTTGAATTGTGTAAACCATCTCAGAGTAATTCTTCTTTTAGGTTTGTGAAGCTGTAATACATATGTGTAAGAGACCTCATAGCACCAAAGTTATATTTGGATTGAAGTGTCTGTTGTGAGCTGAAAAAGGAAATGTGACTCTGAGAGTGAAGAAATGTATATGTCTGATATTTAAGAGTCAGTGTGATGTCTTCTTTCTAGCCTTTTAGAGATGAAACCAGGAATTTGTGGGCTGTACCTTCTAGTAGAATATAATCAACACTGTGAAGATGAAGATTTTGCCAATATTTGTCAATGATTGTGAGAGCTTGGTCAGCGTGGGTCAGCGATGGTCAGCACTTTGTCAGCCATGTGTTGTGTTTCTATGTTGTCTGACCACGGCCCGTTAATGTAAACATTTGTTACATAAGCTGCGAACCTTCATCTTTGTTCAGAGGTTGGATAGATTTGATGATTACTTTGTCACTTTCTCATAGTTACACAGCTCCTCCATTTAAATTCTATTTTATATATTGTAATATCTTCTTATACTGTATTATTTAAGTTGTTGCTAGTTCTGCTTTATTTCCTTGTTAATTGTTTAGCACCAATACACCAAGTCAAATTCCTTGTATGTGTAAATGTACTTGGCAATAAACCCTGATTCTGATTCTGATTCTGATTCTGATTCTGATTCTGATTCTGATTCTGATCCTTGTGTTGTTGTTTTGTTTGGCTCATGAAGTAAAGTGAATAAAAACGTGAACAGACAGAGCTGCTCTGGTTCCTTCTCTCCTTCAGATGTTCTCTGTGCAGAAGAATGACAGTCAGATACTGGTGGAGGGTTGTGTTGTGTTTGGAGTTATAAAGACAACACTTTTTGGTGCAGTGCAGGAGCGTTTAAACTAAATGAAATTAAAAACATCTGCAGCAGCTTCTATATAACTTATCATTTACAAACGTCAAACAGAATGAGCAAATAGAGAGATCTGGTTTTAAATTAGAAGGAATGTTTGCAGAGTAATAAAGTGAACGTCCTTGTGATCATAACGAAGTCTGTCACACGTTTTTTTTCAGTTGTTGTCTGGACCTTTCCTCAGATTGAATCTCAGAGTTTAGCGACAGAAGACAACAAAGCCACCAGGAATCCAGTGTTTCCCAGAGCGAACACAGCCAGGAGGAGAGACTTCATGAAGGAGCTCTGAAACAGGGAGTGAGGCACAAGTTAAAAAACCAAGATCGAAAAACCTCTTCTCACTGTTGTTTCTTTATGCCCAGTTTTGCAGGAAAAGTATCCCACCATGCACTTCACCCAGAGGCCACAGGTTAGGATGTGAGGTGAACGAACAACTGTTGTTGTTTGAACATTTTCAGACACAAAACCAGCTAAAAGAAAACATCAAGATCTTTAATATGGGTTCATTTAACAACAATAGTTTGATGTTTTCTTGAGATTGAAGGACCTGCTAGGTGGGGTAGACCGGGAGCTCACAGACCAGCTGACCACAAATCCATTCCACGTAGACGAGTGTGATCAGATCAATGTGGAATCACATTTATCACACATCGCCTAACATGAAAAGTCAATGAAGATTTGATCAAATGAACACTAGAGGGACTCTGTTCCATTTAGCTCTGACTGTAAACCAGCAGGCTCCTTGTGCAGGTACATTATTGTTCTTTTTTTCAGATGATACCTACCGAGCTGTTGTTCTCTGATTGGTCCGAGGGGATCAATTTTGATCGGTCCGAGTTGATCAATGCTGCTGGTCAAACAGAGAACAGTTAGGGTACCGCACAGGTAAATAAGGAAACATTAAGACATGATAATCAGAAAACAAAATATAATTTATATAAGAGTGAAAGTAAAATAAATCAAATTCATACACTTTTTCAAGGTGCATGTGCAGTGCATGTGAATCAGGAAGCCGGTCCTGAATGAGACCAGCCATGTCACGTAGCCAATCAGAACATGTGTTGCCCAGGGCTGGGGGAGGAGCAATGATGACTGACGCATCCCCGTGGACATGGCGATCACTGCAGACACACAGGGGTTACTTTGGGCAGGTAAGGTGTTTTTAATAAAAAAGTTTGTACTCAGATGTTCGGGAAATGTGTTTGAAAAGCAGACCGACCTGCCATGATCTCCGTCGCAGTCCCAAATCCAAAGTGGGCCCAGTTAAAGATGTATCTCCTGAACCGATAATACCAATTTATCATCACATTTTGATTCAAATAACAGTAAATACTAAAAAAAACATTCAGTTACTAAATACATCAATTTAGATGTCACTTATTCCTGCAGTCAGCAACATGTTTAGAAAACTGGGTGGAGTGAGGGCGGGGGGGTTGACTCTCTGCCCCTACTTGTGCCCCCATGTTCTACCAAAGAGGCCCACCTTCATTTTTTTCAGCTCACGCCTGTTTGTTGTGTAACTTCAGTATGATTGAAAGAAAACCAAGAGGAGTTTAAAAAAAGGTCTTGCTGCTTGTGGCAGTTCTTCATTCATGACAACTTTTTGCACACTAGTGCCCCATGGCACAGCTGGTGCCCTTTAATTTTCCCTCTGCGTCTTAGTAGCCTCAGTCTGCCACTGCAGGCAGGTTGCAAGTATAAGTATATATATCTTAAGTATATTTTTAAGAGGGGTTTAAAAATGAGAGAGCTATCGGTTTAGTGTCAGCATTACAAACACTTAACTGATGTCCTACCTCTGTTTTTAATTTAAACACAACTATCAGAGAAATGAACCAGAGACAGACCTAAGAAAGGGTCGTCCTCTAAGCTAGAAAAGTGGAAATAAATGTAAGTGTCTGTAGGGACCTAAAGGCACTACGAGGAGGCTGCTAGCCTTTCAGAGACATGGCAGTACGAGCTGGCTGTACGGCCTAGCCCACAAGGTGGTCTTCAGTCATTGTGGATCTGTACTTGGACTTGATGATTTTCAAACAGACTCAAACAGATAGGTCGAACCAAAAAAATTGATGTTAAGTTTAAGGCATGTCTTGGGAGGTTGGGATACTTTTGTTACAGGAGTTGGACCCTGGTTTTGATGTCAATGTGATTCTGCAATCACGACCTCAGCGGAACATTACCCCCCCTCAGTGCCGTAACTTAGCTCAGCCATTATCACGTCTGGTGACACATACACACACAGTCAAACATGTACGCACACACACAGCGCTGCGTTCCCCTGCTGTGCTCACCGCCTCACCTATGTCACACCTCTGTTACTAGGTCCACACCTCAGACGACAGTACTGAGGTGGGATCACTTCGTCCACCCATTGCGCCTCTGCCACATTCAGATTGAAGATGAAAAGTCACCGGGGCGTTGAAACAACAGAGCTAGCTCATCCACATCAATTCTTGCACCAAATGTAAAACACATAAATCTGGCTACAAGCTCAAAGGTGTTTCTCAAATTCTGACAGGATGCTCTGAACTTGCTCATCATAATGTGCGATGTCGAGCTGTGTGACAGCTTTACCCTGACTTGTAGTCTTGCCTGCATGAGAGGAGAGGTCAGAGCGTTGCATTCTTCTTGACAGCATTTTCTTCAAAGTGTGCTCACTGAACTGATCATGTCAATTACATCTAGATCTCTACCCTGCAGCTCTAAATAAAGCTCACTGAGCAGGCTAGTGAGATCTGTTAGAAAGGAGGAATCCAGAAGCCACTGGAAGTCCTCTAGCTTTGCATATTCTGTATGTTTTCAGAGCTTTAAAAAATGCTTGATTACAGGCAACAACTCTGTGAATTTCACCAAAAAGTCCACCTCTGCTTACATCCTGTATGTAGCAGCATATCTGCATGCTCTTGACCTTTCTCCTCTAACTGAGAACAGAAAATCCTCCTCTGTAGACTCCTGAACTCAGAGTCTTCATTCCAACATCCATGACTTGTTTTATATTTAAAATCCTTCACAATGATCCTGGTGAATTTTAACAATGGAAATTAATGAATCCACTGTTGCGGCCTCAATGTCATCCTGCAGCTCCTCCACATCCACACTATTCCCTCACGTCGTTGTGTAACAGTATCCTGGATAACTGCACTTCCTTAATCCATGATCTCAGTCCGATTCTTAAAGTCACAGAAAAGTGGATCAGCAGCCTTGGCAAACATCAGGGAGATCCATCTTGTAGTATGCTCTCTTCAGCAAAGCATGCTTTGCAGATGAGACAGACAGACTCCTCCCTCTCCTGGTGAAATGATGGCTGACTGAATGATGGGCGTCTATCAACTTAATGTAGGCAGAGTTTAGGAGGGGGTTCATTGAATCCCCTATTGGCTGGAGACAAAATGCATTAATTATATATTTTAAAAACTCATAACTTCTTATATTTGGTTAATGCCTCACTCTAAGATGATGGATGAAAAATAGCAGAGACTGTGTGACTGTTTATTTCATAAAGCTGTGGTACTGCTCATAGCACCATGAAGTGCATCAGCCGCCCCCGCTGTCTGCTCCCTCTCAAGGTCCAGTTCACAAAGCATCTTGTGCTTTATACTGTTCAAGCACAAACACGACCCGTGCAGTTTGTGCAGTTTGTGTTGTTTTTGTGTGTGATTGTGGAGAGAAGCTTTATCTGCACCTTCACTCTCACGCTGACTGACCTCAGCTCTGTTCACAGAGAGCTGATGAGCTGGGAGTGGAGGGGACACTTGGACAAGTTTTGAGACCTGAAAGATGTGATATCAACCTTCTCCTTGAGAGGAGCCAGCGAGAGCAGCTCTTCCACATAAAAACACTCTCATCCCCGTCACGTGATGGCTTCCAGATCGTCTGCACCAATGCTGACAAAGTGTGAATATGTGCCGTGGTTGACCCTCAGGAGGCCCTGGACTGATTTAACCCCTGATTATAATAATTATAGATGTCAGGCTTTATTCACAGTTATAAATACTGCCAGCTCACAGCAGGCGGTAATAATGTCACTCCACCTGTACT